AAAAAAAAAAGGAAAGGTTTTTTCTCTTTTTTATTGCCGAAAAGTTGAGGAGTAATGCGACAGTTTGATCGTTCATCTGTAGAGTTGTCCTGATGTATTATGCAACACGAAGACGTCAAGTGGATTTATTACTAATAAAACAAACAGTGCGGACTTCCTTTTCAATTTTTAGATATCAACCAAATACCGTTTAGGTATTATTTTACACAAAACTTTTTTCTTTATCTACCTACAAAATCGAAAACTCTATACGAAATTTTGCTGCAAAGAGCTAACAATGAAGCTAATAAAAGGTTATTTTGGTTTTTAAACTTACAAGCAGGTCTTAACAGTTTTTTTAAGACACTCATAGCTTTAAAAGTCAAAAACTTTTTTTATCTTTTAATAGCATAAAGATAGTATTTTAAGAAATCTTTTACACTTGAAAAGAATGAAAAGAAGAAGAAAGGAGGAAGTGAAGGTAACGTCAGAAAGCAAATAAAGCAAATAACATAATCTAGCACTTCTAGGTTTTTTATTCTATACCATTTCTGACAACATAAGTGTCGCCGAAATAATAAACGAAGACAGGAGCAGGTAAAAACAGTTTTTTCCAACTCTTACATTTATCGTGGTTTTTTAATGTAACCGAAAAAAAGCGGATCAAATAAAAATGAATTTATAAAATTTTCAGCAAAAACTGGATTTTTGTTGTATTCTTTAGCTTGATAAAATACGTACCAAAGCTGTTCTTTGCAGAAACTTTCAATACTTTGGAAAAAATGATCTAGGGTCATAGCAATATCACTTTACTATGATTCATCTGGCTTGAATAATTTGTGTTTGAGATGTCGTAATAGTTGCAAATTTTTTTTTATAACATTATTTATTGAATAATCAAACAAGATTTCTTGTTTATTTTAGAATGCGTTTGATACATATATTAGAAGAAAAAAAGCTGGAAAACAATATTTTTACAAGGCGAAAGTGAAGCAGAAAATGTATTCTTCTTTGTTCAAATACAGAAAACTAAAGACAAGGAGGAGGAAGGTGTGGAAGAAAAATGCGGCAATGAGAAACAATGCTGATTAGATGGTTTTTCAAAATAAACTATATAAAAAAAGAAATAATCAGTTTCTTAGAGATTCGAGTGTTAAAAAGTTTTGAGAACTGCTTATAAAGCAAACAGAATCGTGCCTTTTTCTTACTACAAAAAAACGGTAATTTCTTCTACTGTTTCGCAGGTGACAGCACTGCTAAAACGGGGACACTCTTCCAACAGTGTTGTTTTCCTCATTTATCGTTGTGTTCAGTTGAACTTTTTAAAACTAACTATCTCAAAAATTCTTTGTAACAGACTAATAGGAGAAAAGAATTTTGCTACGATATGTATTACAAAGATAGTTTTTCAATTTTCCAGTGGTTCTTTATTTGCCATATTGTTCTAACCAACTGTTCAAAATGTTTGCAAATAGGAACACTTTTCACTTGCAGATACTTTTTTTTCAATTTTTCAACGATATATTTAGAAGTTTTATTTTGACGTCTTATAAAAATAATAATAGATGTGGTTTATGAGAGTAAAAGGTATTAGATGTTAAATCTTAGTTTAACTGACAAGTAAGCAACCGAATTTACTGAAAAAATTTACTGTATTTTCACTAGTTTTTACTCTGTCGGTCATTTACTTCTACAGTAGCTATTAAAATAGATATAATGTGTAATTTACAACTGACTAAGCTGAAAAGTCAGAAAAATTTAAGCTTTTAAATTTTCGGCAATTTATTAATTAGTTGTTTAAATGATAGACTTCTTACGTCTATAAGGCTCGTTTACTGGTTGTGAGATGCATTGCCTCTGATAATTTCGGTTACTAAGCTCGGAAATAATATTCTTAGCACTAATGCTAAACAATGGCTACTTCTAAGAGGTCTGCTAAATAGCTGGATGTCGTCGATTTGAGGTATAAATGTTGAAAAAGCAAAGCACTTTTCTTAACTGCTTGGTTTGCGGCTTGCAGATGGATGGTTTGCTGCTTGCATCTTTTGTTTTTTTTTCTTTTGTTTTTTCTTCTTAAGCTCAATAAATAGTCCAGTTGCAATTATTTCAAGAACCAACGCTCTTGACCCGGGGGCTTTTAAGGCAATTGAATGTTCAAAAGACGATTGCAAACCTTTTGTTTGTTTTGTTATCCACAAACCTAGACAAAATATCCGAACGATTTTAATTGCTTTTAATAATTTACTGCAAAATTTTTGATTGTCATCTCTGAGAAACCATTTTGGCCATTAAAATTTATAAATACGGTCAATTTTTTGCAGTTGTGAAGTAAAACTGTAGACAAAATTAAGGAATTTTTCAAGTTGCTATACATTTGTTATCAGTTTTTTGAGAAAGTAAGAAACAGAAGATCAGTGTCAATTCCTTGAGTAAAACTAATAATATGAATATGTTGCTCAAAAAATTATTTGGTAGCAGAAACTTTTCAGGACTGTTTGGCTTTTCTTTTATGCACAATGGGAAAGGAAAAATTTGACTGAATTTTCAACAATAACATAAGGGTTCATTTGCACATAACGAATAAAATGTGGAGACAAATAACACACATTAAAAACGTTTGTACAAAATATATATGGGAAATCGTAAATGTAAGTTGTTTAAAAATCAGTTTTTCGTTTGCGCTGTCGGAAAATTGTCAGTGTCAATATTAGGTTAGTTTAGCAAAATATCACTCCGAATCATTTCATCATTTCTTAACAAAAGTTCCACAGCCCGCCCAATTTAACTTGTAAGATTTTTATCATCTTTTAGCAGACATTTTGAAACAGTATGCAAATAAGATCACTGAAACCGATGAATAACGCATATTTTAGCACTCAGTATTTATTAAAACCGTTTGGTAGACCCCATCAGTGTACTACAACCGATAATGATAAAATTATCCTCCTGTAAAGGAGCTCTTTTTCCTAATCTTTTTAGAACAATTAGTATTTGCAAGCAACTTTTTACACATCTTCGACTTTATAGATCTTGCGCACTATAAATTAATTTAAGCTACATGTTCAATTACTAAATCACCAGCTTAAAAACCGCTGCTCTGCATCAAAAATACGTATGATTTACAAGAAAAATTTTCTCGCTTAATTTGTTTTTCACTAGACAAGTAAAAAATTGATAAGAGGTTATGCTTGAAGTTCCTAGGAATTTCCAAACAGCGTGACAAAAACATTCGTCATTTCAGGCTTTAGCAGCCAGAAATTGGAACGCATTAAATTTTTTAAAGTTTTTTTGAAAAGATTTTATAGTTCTTTTTTATCTGATACGTTTCCTTTAACATTCATCTTCGTCTAAAAATTTAAACAAACAAGACTAATAAATTCACTAATACAACAAAATTTAACCAGGAAATAGAAGTATACAATAAAAAAAGTAAGCTTAGTTTTGGAGTCATAAATAAATGTTTATTGTTTTTAGGTAAATCACAGCAATCTCGAAGCTTTCAATGCACCTTTATTATCTCAAAACTTTGGAGCCATGGGACAAATTTTTCAATTGATGTTAATGAAATCTAATGAATCCCCGGCGTCATTCCTAGTGCTGATACGCAAAAAGAAGCCTGAAAGGGTAAATTTATATATCAATCTAGGTAAAAACTTGAAACTGGCCAAGACTTCAGAATAAAACCTTACTGCAAATTCTATTTTTCTCTACAATAGATAAAAGGTAGTAAGAAGAGTTCGTTTATGCGTTGCGCTGTCAAATGTTGTGAATGAATTTGATTCTTTGTTGTAATTGCTGTATCTGACAGTCAGTGAATGTGCTAGGTAAATCCAGAATAAGAAATTTGACCAGGTGGGTTCTAGAAGTTGTGATGATTACACCAACTAATGCAAGATAGGACAGATATCAGCAGAATCACATACGGTAATATTTGTACTTGTCATTATATGCGCTAATAGTGGTTGTTTTTTTCAGTTAGTGGCACGAAGTATGATAAATATCTTTACTAACACCGGTTTAAAAATTAACGAGGAAACAAATTCACATCCGGTTATTATAACAGCAGATTGGTGTTTAATTGGTAAGGTAAGAAAGAAATTTATTTTCACTTGGTTTCAATACAAAACTTAGGCAAGCTTGTTCAAACTTTAATTGACAATTGTGGGGACATCTATTGAGTAAGTGCTTCTCAGACTTTCTACAATCAAGTGTTGGAGGAAAAAGCGGCTAGTAGCTAAAACGTTAAAAAGCTATAAGTGGGTAATTTCTCAAAGATGCATGTTTTCAATTTTTAATTTAGCAAAAGTTAAGATTTTTGAAAATGCAAAACGATATTCTTTTCACTAATAGATAAAGCCGAACATTTCATTTTTGAATTTCTTGCAACTTTGAATAAAATACTGAATACAAAACTTAACCTAAACATCTACAGACAATGTTTTCTAATATTTATTGAATTACATAAACTCTTCACAGACAACTGTTTTTCTTTTAAGATTGATATTGGGGACGTATCAGATTTACCAGGTTTCAGAATTCGATGCCAAATAGAGTTTGTTACAATTGAGCACGGCCATATAGTAGAAGACGACGGTTCAATTGCTACCACTGCGCTTTATAACGCGTTTTTGTCGTCCACTTGCACCGACTTTACCATCAAAGTGTTACTTCATACTGTTTTACTTTCAAAAATTACAATTGAAAAGTATACAATAATTGCATACCTTAAAAAAAACTTCTCAAATATTCTAAATATAAATGTTCAAGATTCAAATGCTCAAAAAATTTTGAAAGAACAATCTGGTTCAACTTGAAGCAAATCTGGTTTCAGGTAGACAGCCAAGAAATTGATGTGCACAAATGTGTTTTAGCTACATACAGCGAATTGTTCAGAAGCCTTTTTCAAAGTGATACGTCTAAAGAAAATAAAAGCAATTATATAGAGCTTGACGGATACGACTTGACATCAGTAATCCTTGTTCCTTTTATAAAAAACAATTACTTCAAAGTTAACCATCAGCAAAGTCGGTAGTTAAAATAATTTAGACTATTCTTGAGCGTGCAAAAATATTGATAATAATCTCTTAAAAATAATCTTTTCCCAGGTTGTTGCAATGATCAAGTATCTGTATACAGGTCAACTAGCAGGTACACAGCTTAATCTTGAAGAAGTTTATCGACTTGCCTGCGAACTAGCCATTAAACCGTTACAGCGAAAATGTGTAACACTGTTTCGTACAGAAATTGATAACTTAGCTAGACTAAGAATGGCACTAAAGCCCCCAGATAAGCAATTTCCAGAAGAATTATTAATGGTAAGCTGCAGTTATGACTGAGCAATTTATGATACCAACAGAAAGAAGTTAGAGAGTGTATTTTGAGCTGCATGCCGAGTGTTTACTTTATTCTTCAGCTTTAAAAGCAATAAAAGTGGTTGTCTTAATTCGAAAAGTATGAAATAAATTCTAAGTACTGATATTTTCAACAAGAATAAAAAGTAAATTTTTCAAAAGAAAATTATACTTGAAATAAAATTTCTAGGCTTGCGCAAACTATATATCAAAAAACAGTCACCGATCATTCGAGACTCAGGAATGGAAAGAGCTAAAAGCGAATAATCCAGATGTTGCATTTGCGTTAGCAGAAATGTCGCTTCATCTAAATCGAGTACAGCGATAAATTTCTTGTTCCTTTTTACGCTTTAGCCTACTACTTCAGTAAGAAATTACTCAAAAATATTTTCCTAATTATTCGACTGTTTTTTTATAGAATCCAGACCTGCCTAAAAAATAGATTCTAGTCAAATGCGTTAAACCATTTATATTGCTATGCAAATAAGGTAAAGAGAAAAGTTACAGTACATTGTTTGTTTTGCATATAAACTCATATATTAATTCGCATTATTCTCCTAATTACTGCTTTATTGTTTTTTGTCGATGACAGCTGCATCGTTACTACTTCAAATTGTCTGTTTTGGCAGTGAAAAGTAGAGAAAAAGAACAATAAAGCTTTTAGGATATTTTATACAGCCTGAAGTTCATACATTGCTCTTTATAACATCTGACACGGTTTACTCTCCTCTTAATCGATGAATTTTCATTTGTTGAGAAGCGTTTCAGGTTACCTGTGATATTAATCAAGAATAAAGATTTTTAAAATGAATTGATTATAGCTTGGCTAAATATCGACAACAAGTAACCTAAATATCCTCAGTCAGCCCACATAAATAAAATAAAAACTGATTAGTTCCTAGAGAGTCTTTATAAAGACAATCCTGGCACGCAAAATTATAAGCGAGTGTACAACAACGCCTCCACCTCATTCATTTCTTAAAAAACGTAACTACTGTTACAGTTAACTAAAAAAAAAGTCGTGATGTTTTGGGATGTTTTGGTCATTAAAATGTGGTATTTCTAGAGCATACGCAACACCGACTATAAGCTGGCGCTGGTTTAGTAACTCTAACTAGTACTGATCGTTTGGTCGTAATACGATAAAAGAGTTTAGGATTTTTCAAGATGCAAGCAAAAAGAAAGTTGCAAGTTGTTCTGTAAATGTCATTGATCAGCTCTACTTGAAGCGCAGACCGACTGCTAAACAGTAGAGTTTGCAATTTTACAGAATGTACGTCTTTGATGATTCTGATTTTTTATTTCTGTAGTTTCGTAAATGTTTAGCTTATGGAAACAGCTTTTGAAAACTTACAAAGACTAAAGAAATTTTGATGCATTTTTCAGCTTTATTTCAGCTTACCTTTTCTGAGTTTTATGATTTATTTAAAAGTTTTGTTCATTTTTCGCCAAATTGCCAGCATTGCACAGCTACTAGATAATTTCAGGTATATCAAGAAACAGTGCTAAAAGAACAATTTTTTTCGTATTTGGTCTGAAAGCAGCCTCGCATGCTAGCCTGTAGCTGAGTAATTTTGTTTAGTCTTTTCCTTAAAAGCCGATGTCGGTAAGGCTGAAGTCTTTCTAAATGCTATTCTCAACTGTCTTTCCCGTAAAAAAATGCCGGTTTATGACTTTCATCGATGGGTCAATTGTTTTCGTGTTTGAGGAGTTAAAAAGTGTATTTTAAGAATTTATTGAGAATACAACTAGCGTGAAAATTTATTAAGCGTTAAAAATTTATTTTACCAATAGTGGTTTTTTATTTACCTTGTCAAAAAAAAAAACATTCGTGAATAACGTCTCTGAGAAGTAGCTTTAGAATTTCATGAGCTATGTACAGACAGCAGTAGTGCTAGAAAGAGTAATCATTTTAATTTGGCGTTAATTCTGTTTAGGAGGCCAGTCTAATTCTGTTTTTACTTACAGTAGTTCTTTGAGAAAGAAGTCTTAGCTTGGTATATAGTTTAATACTTGCTTTCAGTTCTAGGCCAATACAGCACAGGTGTGTTACAACAAATGCTTATCAAATATGTGCAGACTTAATTTTTATTTATTTTCTGCAACATCTACGATGACTGCAGCATTCAAATGAAAATTGTGCAATATAGTCACGCTCGCCACATTTTAAGTAAATGTTTTTTCTTTGGTAAACTAAGCGAAATTAAATATTAATCAGATATTGATATGGTTAAACCGCAAAAAATGACAACTATTTTGGATATAATTTAATTCCTCGAGCATCTACATAAGGAAAATTTAATTCAATTTTAATCGGCCTTTTTGTCGGGAAGCGAAAGTGTGTGAAATGATTTTTATTTTCTGCTATTTTTTAAGACTGGGCATTCGTGCTGCATATTCATTTTTGTATCAGTCGCTCTCAGTCTTGTACTCCGTTTGTATATTTCAGTCACTGAACCTTCTTGGCTATGTTCTAAAATACAGCAGTTGTTGGGTGTTTTTGGAGAAAAATAACATAGTAAGTTTATTTTCTTACTTTTTTTTTTCAGTAACTAAACCGTTGACGGAGCGAAGACAACCGCAGTGTAATATCTGTATTCAAAATTAAGCAATGTTTCCTCGTAAAAAAAGTGGACTGTATGTCTAAATTTTTTTGCTGGTACGAGTGGCGCTTTAGCTGAAAAACGAAAAACAGAAATTGCATCTATCTCTTATAGCGGTATACCATTTATCTAATAATTTTTTAAGATTTACTGTTTATATGAGTTACGTAGCCGTTTCAATTCAACATTTTTCACCGCTTGCTAACATCAGTTTTATGCATTCGTGTTTTGAATCCACTTTATAGAGTGGCTTTTTAGATTAGCAACACGTTAAAATTGCAATTCTATTTACAGTTAATTTATGTATACTTTGGAGCTTCTGATAAATATGCATTCAAAAGTAGAAAAATAATTTGTAACTGTATGCGAGCTGTAGAAGATGTAAAGAAATTTTGGGCTTTTTTTCAGCAGTATTTGTTTGGTAAAAAATACGTTCAACTCTTTCTAACCTTAATAGTAATTTTTGACTGATGATTTTTTCTAAATGAAATGTTACTGGAAGGTGCAGTGTTGTGAGTCTTTCTTCTGTATGTTATAAACTTTGAAAGCTTTTCATGTAAGATCTTATTCTGCGAGTGTTTACCGCTAAGTATTTCATAATTAGTGATCTTTACCTGTTGATACAGTGTAAATTTCACTATTGAAAATTACGTAGCTTCAAGTAGAATATGATGTTATAAACTCATGTCCATTCTTAGTACGGATATATCTTAGATATATTTAAATCTGTTATAAACTGGTTGTTGGTAAAATTGTCTTCTTATAATACTCATATTTTAATAAGTGCTTATCAAAACTTTAAGTTCACTCATCTTTATTTCAAATCGTACCTATATATTAATATTTCTAATTTTTTTCTACTTTTAAATTTGCGATCTTGAACTGCTTGACCAAAACGTGAGTCAACTTTTTTTTGCCATAAATACATCTTTGATCGCACCGTTTTTAGCTTTCCTTCTGTATTTTTCCTCTGTTTACTGCCTGTCTTTTGATTTTCTTAAATTACGCGGGCAAAAAATAGTATGATCTAGGTATTTGTTTTTGTATGCAGCCAGTGCGTCGTCTTCAATATTCTCGCTTAAAATGTGCCAACAGAAACCGAAAACCAAATTTTTTTCAACTTTAAATTCGAAATTGTGTTGTTACAAAATTTAAGTTTGGAAAATCAAAAAAAGAAAGAGGAATAGTGAGGAGAGAAGTTGAAATTCTGTGAGTTTTTGACAGAAATCTATGACAAAGTTTTAAAATCCTTCGCAGAACTTATTGCCCCGTTCATTTTGGTTCATTATTAGTTTGGAAGCAAGTGTACTTTCGTTTTAGTCTGAATAAATTAAGTGATCAGCCACACATTGCGATTATGCAAGCCATTATCATCAGTTTTCCTCCTCAACCATCACATAATTTTGTCATCCAGCACTTTGTTCCCATTATATATATCGTCACCACTAATTTCTCTTTCATCTATCTGCGAAGCATTATTTGTCAGCAACGGAGCGCCCGACGCTGGTAACGCTCCAAACAAAACTCTACAACAAGTCTTTAAGAAGCATCAAGACATTCGCTAAAATTTCAATGATTTCAATAAAAAAAAAATCAGTTTTATTTCAAAAAAAAAAAAAGAATTTATTATTTTTTATAAAACATTTGCCAGAGCACGTTAATTACTTCATACCTGTTTGCTTTTACTGTTTCGACCTGCTCTTTCATCTCTTTTTCTACATCACTGCCCCATTTCGCAACATTTTTTGCCCACTCTTCTTCACTGGTTTTCATGAAATTTGTATTAGGCTAAAATTTAGTTTTCTATTACACATTTTAGCTATTTCTCATGCTATGTTAATGTACTTTTATTTAATCTGGGTAAGAGAAGCTTATCAACTGTGAAACGGCAAGTAATAAAATTAACGGTAAATTTAAAGCAAGGCGTACAGAAAGTAACTGTTCTTTAACATTTCTGAACGATGGTCGTTTATTTAAGTTTATTTGGAATCCTACTAGTACAGGAAGCTAACACTTGCTCCAGTTCGACAGGTAGCAACTCACTGCGTAGTGGCAGATTCAGTTTGCTTTAATTAATTAATTATTATTTACA